AAAGTGTTGATTTACAAAAAAATTTATGAGGCTGAGCATGGGGAGGGGGGGGGGTCGACCCCCCCCCCCCCCCTCTGGATCCGCCCCCCTCTGGATCCGCCCCTGAATTGAAGTATTTTCAGTCCTCATAGAAAAAAAAAGGCCCCAAGGAGCTGATTAAATCAACATAAATGATATATGAATGAATTCATTAGCTTGTTTCTAGGTAACCGTCTGCTATAACACCTGTTAGTTATATGTAAATTAACTCCACCCTTAGGACACACAAATTTAATTTTCTGTTCTTCAGAGCCCTGAAGTGGAATGTTATGGGGTTTAATGTCCTACTGTTCTGATTCTAAACTGGGCTAATGAAGACGGGCATACGCCATACAGTGTGCTATGAGGGAAATTTTGCCCGGGCAACGGCGCTACGGCCTACTCTTATATCGAATTCCAACTGCCAAGGGATCTTTTACGTGCACGCCAATATGTACACGGGACCTCGGGTTTACGTCCCATCCGAACGACTAGACAGCTGTCCGTGTCAGGCCCTCCGTCCTGCATCACTGACAAGGGGAAACCACGCCGGAAAATCTAGATGAACTTTCTCGGCCAATGCAGGGATCGAACACCCAACCTTCAGGCTAGCGAGCCAGCGTCTTACTCACTAAGCCACGTGATCCCCAAATCAAGGGAATGGATCGGGGGGAGGTTGAGTGGGAAGGGGGCAGCTGTAAGCGTCCTCTGCGTTGTACAGTCTAATAGCAAGTGAAATCACAAGAAACTAGACTTGCTTTTAACTTTTAGTTTTTTTAAATATGTCTTTTCCCTGAAAAGATAAGAAGGGAGTTTTTTTTTAATGGTGTCCCCGAAAAACATAAAATCAAGTTAGCTTGGCCTTAGTATAAAACAATAATTGATGACGAGGTGATAGACACGCTCGTTTATTTCTCTATGAAAGGTAGGAAGGCGACCCTGGTGTCGATATTACCTCTATAGATCAGTGGACAAAAGAAACGCCATTTGAATTATGATGATTGAACAAATCAATACAGATAAGGAGAATCTATTGAACCCCCTGCCAATTTTTAAAATGTTGCCAACGGTGTGCAAACATAAATAAAGAATAAATTCTTTGTAATGTTTAAAAACATGTTTGTAATGTGGTTGATAAGGCCACAAAAAATACATTTGTTTGCGGTTATCCTACCGACCCTATTTTTGAAATCCACATTCGGGATTCCTAAACTATTTCCGCCTCGTTTCCCAGGTCCTATCAATCGGCCTTGTGATTTTCTGTAGAGAAATTCTAACAATGAAATCTTGGTACAGTATTTACAAAAGTCCGAATCAGCATTATCTTCCAGAATATTACTCAGTAATTAAGACAGAAATGCTAGGAAACAGATAATAAACACTTATTTATAATGACATGACAAAGGCTAGGGTCTGCACGTACCGGAGAAAGGGAGAGAGAAATGGGGTTTAACGTCCACTCGTCACAAACTAGGTCATTTCGGGACTAACATATGGTTTAATTTTATTCCAATAATTCGCTTGCGCGTAGGGGTCTTTAGCAGTGGGAGGAAACCGGAGGACCCGGAGAAAACCCACGAGGTTGGACAGGCGACCCTACTCCTTGCCACGTACAACCGGGAATTCGAAACCACGCCAGTTGACTCAATGACAGGCTTTATGATACAGCGCGCGCACGCTAACCATTCAGCCACCCAACCCCCCTGCAAGTATCGGTGTAGGTTATTAAAAGATTATTTTATTAATTCAGTTAGTTCTATCAATCTTAGCCCACAAGTCGCTCGTCATCCTGTTCCATATTGTACAATCGTACTCATTACAACCTTCTTGGTGGTACTTGATTTTTGATATAATTCAATTCCAATATGGCGGCGATGACGTCATACTCGATTCCTGTTCCATATTGTATAATTTGTACTATCGTACTTGTTTGTTCTAAGTACGGAATGGCACTTCTTTTGTCACTCATATTCTTCATACAATAAAACTTAGAGACTTAAAGAAAATCTCCCACGAGTCTTTTTTGATATCAAAAAATATCAACACAAGTCGATAAAGTGAAAAATCAGAGAGAGTGAGGGGGTTTAACGTCCACTCGGCACAAACTAGGTCATTTCAGGACAAACATAAATGGTTCAATTGTATTTCAATAATTCGGTTGCATGGGGGGGGGGGGGTCTTTAGCAGTGGAAGGGAACCGGAGGACCCGGAGAAAACCAACGAGGTTGGACAGGCGACCCTACTCCTTGTAACATACAACCGGGGAATCAAAACCACGTCAGTCGACTCAATAACAGACCTTATGATACAACGCACGTGCACTAACAATTCGGCCATCTAACCACCCCACCTCACCCCAACCCCCTGTAGAATGTGTTATTGAGTGATAAATAATATTATTGTTAATTCCATATGATGTTTTCATGTTCAATCAAATTATTGTGTATATCAATCAATTATAAACTATTAAAAGTAATCGACCGTGACGTTGTTACATTGTTGATTACGGTCAACTCACAAATTATAGAACATTAAACCGATTTTCTACAGGCAATTGATCACAGAGAAATATTGATTGCTGAATGTTTTACAATAAAAGTTGTTTGATTAATGTATAAGACGTCTAAATTAATTAATCTATTTTGGGAACAGCGATAATTTGCTGGCACATTGTCTTTCACACATTGTCGTCGATAATCTGTCTGGGCCCTTATTCACGAAATTTTAAGAAATACTGCAATTCGATTGGCTGACCAGTAAAATCAATTTGCATATATCCAATGAAGTTGCAGTATTTCTTAAAATTTCGGTTGTAACTTAGTTTAAGCTTTCGTGAATAAGGGCCCTGGTCCTGCACCCTGCAGCGGTGAAACTCTGCAAAACACTGGCTGTTACTAATCCTTTCCTTCGACTCTTGAAACAAAATATCAATTGATTATGTTCTGGTTTCATTTCAATCTTGGTCATTAATATGCCACCCTTTCGTATACGACTCATTATATTTTATACTGAATATTAAAACAGGACTTTGAGGCTCTTGATTTTAGTCTCCCAGTAAGTTTATTTTTTCAATTTAAAACAAACAATTTTTTTTGGCATCAGCTGGGTGACAAAACGACTCAATTGTTGATATTTTCTGGTTTTGTAGGTGACAGCAAGGAGAAGTATCTAAAGCAAGTTTATTAATGCTTTATGTCAATTGACCGGGAAAACAAGTTTATCCACTTGTCAATTAAATATGTCACGAACACAAACACCAGTGACCTAAACATATTTGTCATTTAATTATGTCTGCCCATTGACTAAAAATCGGAACCAATCAACGGAGAGAGAGAGAGAGAGATGGGGTTTAACGTCCACTCGACACAAACTAGGTCATTTCGGGACTAACATATGGTTTAATTTATATTTCAATAAATCGCTTGCGCGTAGGGGTTTTTAGTAATGGGAGGAATCCGGAGGACCCGGAGTGTGTGTGAGTTAGTTTTATTTAACGTCCGCTTCCACCGAGGTGATATCGCAGACAAGGGACCCGGAGAAAACCCTACTCCTTATCACGTACAACCGGGGATTCGAAACCACGCCAGTTGACTCAATGACAGGCCTTATGATACAGCGCGCACGTGCTAACCATCCAACCCCGCCCCCCCCCCCCCCGGAAACAACCAACGGGGAATGACAACTTGTTGGTATCCATTATTAAACATCCGTATATATCCATTAGCGGTAAATTGTTTGAGTGGCATTAGCCGAGAAAGTTCATGGGGATTTTCCGACGTGGTTTCCCCTTGTACTAGATCTCCGCGTAGACTTAAGTTAAGAATTTACCCAACTTTCAATCAGTGTTTATGAAAAATATCTTTGATCAAGAAACACGAAACTTCGCACTTGGCTTCTTATTCGTGTATTTGATACACTAAAACAACAAAAGTTTTATAAAGGGATATATTTTAGTTAAAATAAGGCGAAAAATTGTGAGTAAATTCTTAAGTCCGAGAATGCCTTGTGAACTTAGGGCCTGGTCATATTACCAAAAGTTTACCGAAATCGGACTGAAAATTGGGTCAAGGGTCATGGTTAAATCCAAGATGGCGTCCGAAAAATTAATGGTGTATAAATTCTTAAAGGGGGTCATTCTTGTAATTAAGTTTTCGCGTCAGATGGCTAAATCTATTTGTTAATTTCAGCTCAATTTTCGTCAAGCTCGCTGAGATGTAAATAAGGTTAGGGCACGTAATTGTTGGCGAGATTGCAGGTTAGGGTTAGAGTAAGCATTGGGGCAAAGCCCAGGGTTAGGGTTCGGGTTGAGATAAGTGCTAACCCTGTTTACATCTCGTGACGTATGACGAAAAATTGACCTGGCCTTATTATTTAGCTAAGCGTGTCAGAAATATATTGATTATATCTGACGCAAAGTACAATTGTATGGACTATAACCCTTTATTTGATATAAACATACTTATAGTTTATATATAAACTTGATGATAATTCCCGGGATACAAGTCAATTAAATACAATTTATGTTTATTATTAAGCGGCGTTTCTCCTTGGATTCTTTGTGTCTTTACCAATACACTGACCGAATTCCATAGCATTGTGTTTTGTGTATTATCGTCAAGTTTATGGCCTTCACTGTCCTACCATTGAGTCAAATGACGTGGTTTCGATTCACGGCCTGTGCGTGACAAGGAGTAGAGTTGCCTGTTTATCCTCGTGGGTTTTCTCCGGGTCTTCTGGTTTCTTCCCACTCGATACCTCGCTATTCGTCCCATTCGAGCTGCTAGACACCAGTCCTTGCCAGACCATCCATACTGCACCACTGACAAGGATAAAAACGCCGGGTAACTTTTACGGTCGAACCCCAGACTTCCTTCTTGATGCGGCAGCACCTTTCTCACTGAGTCACCGCGTGTCCTCATACACCGCGAAGGACTTCTCGTTGTGGTTTTTGCTAATCATCCATGATTCTCTTTCTATTCCAGGTTTAAATTTAGCTGTATTTCGTGATGAAAAGGGCGAGGTTCATGCTCTTGATGCCTATTGTCCACATATGGGAGCTAACTTCGCTGCTGGTGGAAGAGTTATTGGTGATGGTATAGAATGTCCATTTCATGCCTGGCGATTTCGAGGAGAAGATGGGAAATGTACCCACATTCCTTACTGTCAAAAAAGTAAATATCCTAATTATATTTCGTTTTCATAGTTGTTCGGATAAGAGTAGACCGTAGTGCCGCTGTCCGGGCGTATGCCCGTCGTCATTAGCCCAGTTCGAAGCAGAACAGTAGGACGTTAAATCCCATTTTATTTCATTTCGCGTACGCTCACATCAGGGATCGAAACCACGATTGCATGCCAGAGGTAAACGACCAGGTAGAACTCGAAGCACGACACTCTAGACCCCTAGACCATCCCATCTTCACCTAGACTAGCAGGACGTTAAACCCATTTCATATTATTCCATTTCGTTTTCTGTTAGGATCGTTCAATTAATTTACTGGTACTACCAAAAACCAAATCGTCCTACGGTCAGAGATCTTTTGCTTACGCTGCACCAATGTTATGGAATTCTCTACCCGAACACATAAAAAACTCGCAATCTCTCGTAACTTTTAAAAAATTGTTAAAAACAGAACTTTTTAAGCAAAGTTTCATGTAGTGATCGTGATGATTTTTAAAATTGAATTTTTAAGCAAAATTTTATGGAGTGTCTGTGATGACTTTTAAAAATTTGAATTTGTTAACAAAGTTTTATGTGCCGAATGTGATGACTTTTAATAACTGAAATTTTTAGCTAAGTTTTATATAATGCTTGCGCTTTCATTTTAATAACTTCATATTTCTTAAATTTCCGTGATTATATGTATAATTCATTTTTTCTTTTATTTATTTAACAAAATGTAATAGCGCCGCGGAGCAGTAATTTTTACTGGAATGTAGGCGCTTTATAAATTCATTATATTATTATTATATTATTATTATTAAATTAGGCTAATGTGATCATCACACGGTTAAGTTGAAATTTGTACAAAGTGTTTATTTACACATGAAACGAAGAAGTTTATTGATTATGAACGATTTCCTATAATTGCCCGAGGAGTTATGACCATAGATCACTTTGGCCAATCTCGAGAACCTTTCAGAGTTTATTGTTCTCACCTGAATGGCTTGAAATGTACATACATTGTTTGTGTTCATAAGATGAAGTCCATAGTAACTGGTGTATATGTTAGCGCTAGAAACAAATCTATCAAAGTTGAATTATTTCTGACAATTACTTTATGCCTTGTTGCCTTTAGATAATTAGGGGAGCAACGGTGGCCCAGTGGGTTGGACGTTCGCTCGCTACCCTCGAGGTCCCTGTACGATCCCGGGGTTGGCCTAGAAAGTTCATCCAGATTTCCCGTCATGGTTCTCCCTTGTCAGTGATGTAAGACGGAGAGCCTGGCAAGGGACAACGTATAGTCATTCGGATGATATGAAAAACCGAGGTCTCATTAGCCCAGTTGGAGCTGAGCAGGAGGACGTTAAACCCCATTTCATTTCATTAGATAATAAGCTTGTAGTATGCAAATGTTCCCGTTACCAACAAAAGAATAAATTTACGAAAGGCTAGTACGATTTGATCCGACATGTTCAATTTAGATTGTATGTAAATTTTAAGACAAATTTGTCGATCAACGAACATTTTTAACTATTAATTAAAAAAAATACAACAGTTTTTGTGGTTTTCAAAGAGTTCAACGAACGCTGAAGCAAATTACTCTATCGTACTCTATTAGAAAAAAGGGAGATTGGATGGCCGAATGGTTAACACGTGCGCGCTGTATCATAAGGTGCCAAGGAGAAGGGTCACCTGTCTAACCTCGTGGGTTTTCTCCGGGTGCTCCGGTTTCCTTCCACTACTAAAGACCTCTACGTGCAAGCAAATTATTGAAATGAAATTGAACCATATGTTAGTCCCGAAATGACCTAGTTTGTGTCGAATGGACGTTACCCCCCCCCTCTATTAGAAACCAGGGGCCTGTTTCACGAAATTTTAGCTAAGATAAAATCCAAATTTTAGTAATTTGATTGGATAATATTAGATAGATTTTAGTGCTTAGCCAAAAAAATTGAAGTACTTGTAATTTCGGTAAACCCAAACATTCTTCGAATTTTGGTAAAAAGGGGTTAAGGGTTATTTTGAATATGATTTTATTTAAAATTGGTTTATATTCTTTTCTTGGTGAGTGTTAATATCTCTATAAAATCAGGAATTTAAGTTATACTGTATTTAGGGTGTTTTAAACGAAGTTGCATTGTAAAAGCAAGTGCAGGGGGACTGCACCACGCACAAACAATTACACAAAACAAATCTACGGATAAGGCACGACATGCAGACATCACAAAAAATAAACGTACATATCCTGAGTGATAGAGTGGATGGATTCGTGGGCTATAGACGTAAACGTCCATTGCGTTGCACAGTCCCGGTGTAAGGATTGTATGATCGCGAATAAGATAGGAAGAAATGTCAAGAATCGCTTAATCCAAATAACTCTCCATGACTGTGAAACAATGAGCACCATTTACACGATATCAGTAAACATTGGCGCAATGATACTAGAATGATATCCGACTGTTTATTACTCTGCACCGAACCTTATAGAGATTTACTGCCATTCCTTAGTACCAAGATATAGTTCCACCACTGATTTACAACAGGACTTGTCAGATAGATTTATAAGATGTTGCTATAGATACTATTATTATTATTATTATCTCTAGTCTGTGATTGTAATGTTTATTATATAGGTTATTTTACTCTAGGGCAGTGATTCTCAACCAGTGTGCCGCGAAATTTTTAACGGAACACCAAGAAAATGCGAAAAACCACGTGATCCCAATTGAGTATTCACTGGTGTCTACTGATAAGTTCTCAATCGGTTTTTCTTTATTTATTTTGAGTCATTCTATGTGTCTATGACTAGTCTCTGTCTACAGTTGTATGTCGTCTGACTTGCCATGTTTTTATTTTGCAAAATTCAAATATTTTTCATATATATTTAGCCAAGTGTGCCGCCAATTTTTTCATGTGTTCCAAGTTGTGCCGTTGGCAAAAAAGGTTGAGAACCACTGCTCTAGGGTTTTCTAGCAAGAACGGAGGTGACATTTGGGGTGCCCCTCCGATAAAATTTTCAAAATACTTGGAGAAATGAACCGTCTGGAATATGCACTGGAACACATAACTAACTAAACACAGCGCGATTCTGTGGGGTTTTATTGTGAATATTCAATTAAACATGTTAAAGATACATTATGTGAGATTTGATAAAGAGCTGGCAGTTCTCACTATAATAGTTAAAAACTAGATAATGTAACGGCAATTTGCTGAAAATTTCAGTCAAATTGGTCCACTCTGAACCGAGTATTAGCGATTGAATTTTAAGCCTAGCCTCGATCATCATTACTAAAGTCGGTACGATAAAAACATAGTCTCGATTATCCATTGTTTGATTTAATCATCAATGAGCGTTGAGCAGCAGACCGGATTCAAATTCAGTAAATATCGCAGGCTAGCGATGATATTGAGGGTTGATTATGGTCTGGATAAGTTAATTAATGTCTAATTAATAATTTATATAACACTTCAGGCCTAAACATGCATTATGCAAGAGCTAAATCTGATTATTGCAAGTCTTAATTTAGGCTTCAGATGTTATAGAAATTATAAATTAGATCTTTATTTAAACAACAAGACCAAAATCAACTCTGTAGACCCACGGATGGCACGGCTACAGCTCGGATTTAAATAGGATTTCACTAATTGATTAAATCAGATAAGGGGTAACCTGATGAAAATACGTCAGTTAGATCGAGGCTAAATGATAGAGTGTACTTAGCGAGGCCGCTGTAAAGCGTTTCCGTATGCCATTGAAAACTTTACTTGATAATCGAGATATGTAGGTGGAGTTAACGCCTGTCAATCAAACGTTCGGCGAAGGTGAAGACACATTTCGCTACCATTTCTAGGCAAATATTACAACGATGATAACTATGTTCAGAATAAAGTAATTTGACTGAATTTTTCAATATATTCTTCTTTCATCATCTACTTTTGAACTGTTATAGCAAGAATGGCCAACTCTCTATAAATATCTCCCATAATGTATCTTTAAAGAAAAGACCTGCAATAGAGAGATTTAGGTCTTGCACGATGTATGTTTAATATTAGTTATGGTCCTTTCCCCAGTACTCTATTGTGGACTAAAGCTCTCCTTATTTACAAGATCCATACTGTAAAATTACTACCAGTTTAGTTGTAAATAATGTCAAAGTGGAGAAGGAAATATGAACAGTAAAAGGAAACCCTAAATAGCCTTCAACGTCTAGAATTACAAAAAGCCCAGCGGTTACTGACTGTATAGCGTTAGTTCTCTCCGGACTGAAATTCTAACACGGAAAAATTAATGTTTAGTTCATTTGATCTAGATGAGTCGGTGCAAAAAAGTAGGACGTTCATTTGATCTGGATAATTCTAAATCTATCAATAGTAAAACAATATAAATATCTCACCGACTTTCCATACACGGCACACTCTCGTCCATCGCGTCACAAAATAGTCATTCATTTAATTTATAAAATCGAATATTATTTGTTAATACTGGGAGTACTTTAATGAACAGTTGTCTGCTGAAAATGAAATGAAATGGGGTTTAACGTCCTACTGTTCTGCTCCTAACCTGGGCTAATGAAGACGGAGTTGTCTGCTACAGTGAACAGTCGGCAAAGGCCTTCAATTTCATTGATGAATAAAAATGAATTTATGTTTACGTGTGTCACATGACCTATAAATTCCCAGTCATAGTGGAAGTAACGACGAAGTGTACACGGGTTAAACCGAACTTTAAAGCTAAACATATTGATAAAAACTATGTATTTGTGGGGTCGCGTCTAAATCCGGTAATTTCCGGACCTAAGAATTATCACAAATAGGTCGCAACGAATATAATAATGTAATATGGATGTATATAAACTGATTTACATTCAATCGTTTCTGTTTTTACTGTAAATCAGTTATGTTCGGCGAAATACGCCATAAGTCTCAATCGAATGGCAATCTCTAGGGTCTGGTTATTCCAGTCTACACCTATAGTATTTATTGCGCATGCTCTCCAGATAAGAATATGCCGTCACCGTTTGACATGACTTGTGGAATATGTCTAGCCTCGTTCTTTGAGTCCCTTGTAACAAATGGCTCTGAAACGCATTATGGTATAATTCGTGTACCAATGGTAAAATATTTATTTTGTCTTAAATATTGGATATAAGAAGCTCATCTTTTCCCAGTAAGACTACAACATCAATGTTTATTTAAATTGATAAATAATTCGTATTTTCGATGTCGAAGACTTTGGATGATATTGAGTTAGAGACTTAGCTAGAAATTGTATGTTACATAAACTGTCATATACATGGAATAATTTTAATGAGATTGCCATGGAATTTGTGCAAAGTGTATAAAACACACTGGCTTCAGGTAGATACGACTTTTATGTGTCTTTTTATGTACTCTTTAACATGCGCATTGATACTGCAATCATTATAGGTACAGGGATAAAGCACAAGACAACAAAGTGTTTTGTGGGCATACTTTAATAGCTTGGCCTACACGCACAGAAAGTCTCCGATCAGACAGAATGACAGCCTAAGGGAGCTTACAGAATATTTCACATAAGAATAAGCCGCCATTTCGTTATATAATATTCTATATTTAATAAAGGATGTTTACTCTTTATTTGCAGTTCCGGAAATAGCTAAAGTCAAATCGTGGCCAATTCTGGAACTAAATGGGTGGATATATTTATGGCACCACGCTGAAGGCATTGATCCAACGTGGCTACCACCGGAACTTGAAGACATAGCTAACGGCACCTGGACGTATAGAGGAAGAACCGAACATCTTGTTAATTCTCATATAGAGGTAAGGTAAAATAAATAATAATAAAAAAACAAATCCCCAAACTTATTAGATGTATATCTATCCAATCTGATTATAATACAGTTTTATATTTCGTTCCGTTTTTTATACCTTTGATGACCAACACTACATGAAGATCTGACCAGTTGTGTACTCGAAGGTTGCGTCAGGGGTCGTACGAGCGTCTTTTGACCTATGACGTCAGAAATTAATAAATCAAAGAGCGGTGACGTTTCTTGTGTTTTACCCACAATTCCGTGCATTGCACGCCAAGAACTAACCGTAACAGACCGTTTCATTGGCTAATCCCTCACTTCAACCAGAACGCCGGTAATATAACAACTCTTCCAGATTCTAGTGTAGTAAAGACAAGTAAAACGAAATTTTGAACTACAAAAAAACGAAACGAAATATTGTTTTAATCAGATTGATTATTTATCTTAAAATTAGAAAATCATCAAATTGCTAATCTCATGGAATAATGAAGCCGCGGTGGCTCAGTGGGGAAGGCGCCGACTCGACAACTGGGATGTCTCCGAGTAGCCTCCTGTGTTGGCCGAGAAAGTTCCTCGGGATTTTCCGGCGTGGTACCCCCCTTGTTAGTGGTGCAGGACGGAGGACCTGACAAGGACAGCTGTCTAGTCGTTCGGATGGCACGAAAAACCGAGGTCCCGTGTATACATTGGCTTGCACGTAAACGATGACGTAATTTATTGTTATTTGTAAAGAGAGAGAGAGGGAGAGGGAGAGAGAGAGAGTAGCAGAAGGGGGGGGGGAGAAAACCCACAGGTTTGGACAGGCGACCTTACACCTGTTCACTCACAAGAGGGGTCAGTTCGGGACTAACATATGGTTCAATTTATTTCAATAATTAGCTTGCGCGTAGGGGTCTTTAGCAATGTGTGGGGGGGGGGGGGGGTGGAGAAAACCCACGAGGTTGGACAGGCGATCCTACTCTTTGTCACGTACGACTGGCGAATCGAAACCATGCCAGTTGACTCAATGACAGACCTTATGATAAAGCGCACACGCGCTAACAATTCGGCCATCCAACCCCGCTATTTGTAAACATATTTTTAAATATTCAATGCATGGTATACATTACAAAAGGTTCAATTTAGAATTAAATTGGTCTATTATATCTATCTTGGAAAGTTTCCAGCTCATCTGGCCAACGTTTGGCAATCTGTCGAAAAATGTTGATTTAAATTGACAAATAATTCGTGTTTTCAATGTCGATGGATGATATTGAGTTAGAGACTTAGCTACTTTAGCTCAAACTGTAGTGATTGTTGATGTAATTCAGGTGTCGTCTATTAAATAAGATATGTCTCATTTTTGAAGAATGACTCAATAACAAGATTAACATTCTTAAAGCAAAACCACAACTGTTGCAGTTTCTTTTTCTATTTTATTCATTTTCTATTTTATTCATCAACCATGTGCGGTCGTTTCGCCTAATGAACAAATTAATGCGCTGTTCAGTCAATGTTGACAAACAAGAGAGAGAGAGAGAGGGTGAGAGAGAGAGAGAAAGAGAGAGAGAGAGAGAGGTTTAACGACCACTAGACACAAACTAGGTCATTTCGGGACTAACATATGGTGCAATTTTATTTCAATAATTCGCTTGCGCGTAGGGGTTTTAGCAGTGGGGGAAAACCGGAGGACCCAGAGAAATCCAACCAGGTTGGACATGCCACCCTACTCCTTGTTACGTACAACCGGGGAATCGAAACCCCGCCAGTTGACTCAATGACATACTTTATGAGACAGCGCGCACACGCTAACCATTCAGTCGTCCCCCCCCCCGCAGACAAGATAAGATATCAACGCGAATGGTTGTATAAAGACACATTATGTTAGATGTAGATAAAGAGCTGGTTGTTCTTGCTATAATAGTTCAAAAATAGATAACGAAAATGAATATATTGAAAATTTCATTCACATTACTTGATTCTGAAGTGGGTGATCTAATCCATTTAGATCTCTGCCATCCGATGGTCTAGAGAGTTGATTATAGGCTTGGGATGGTAATAAATGTCTAAATAATAATTTATATAACATTTGAATCCAAAATAAAGACCTGCAATACATAGATTTAGCTCTTACATGATGTATCTGTAATTCAAGACACCCCGGACAGGTAAAGTCCCCTAGGTGATGGATTATGTTTATTTACGATGTGCAATAACATAACAGTCATAACCTTGATAATATCAATTAAGAAATCGTTCTTCTTCAAGTCTTTTGAATTGGGCGTTGAATGACAGTCTTTCAAGCGGTATAATTAGATTATTATGGGCCTAAGCCTGCTTTGAAGTGGTGTAAATAAAACATCTTTATTTGTCTCGCCTTACAATTAACAGATTTAGAAATATTCAAAGAATGTTGCAGTGTATTAAATACGTTTATATATAGTCGTGTATAATATGAACAATTAATGTAAATAAGATGAATCAACTACCATCACCGTCTAGACAAATATATAATACTTTTATAATGAAGTGAATACTGGGAAAAGATCACGATAAAGAGAGAGATAGAGAAATGGGGTTTAACGTCCACTCGACACAACTAAGTCATTTCGGGACTAACATATGGTTTAATTTTTTATTTCAATAATTCGCTTGCGCGTAGGGGTCTTTAGCAGCGGGGGGAAACTGGAGGACCCGGAGGAAACCCACGAGGTTGGACAGGCAACCCTACTCCTTGTCACGTATAACCGGGGATTCGAAACCCCGCCAGTTGACTCAATGACCGGCCTTATGATACAGTGCGCACGTGCTAACCATTCGGTCACCCACCCCCCCAAAATACGACCAACAATGGATTTAGCATTATATGCCTTTGTGGGTGCACAGAGACGGACTACGGGATCCCCACTTTAGCGGGTGTCCGGGTGCGGGGGGGGGGGGCATATTTTTTGACTTACAGACTGCATAATGGTGCTTTTTACCTGAGTGCCAAACCCCCAGAGACTACAAACCATCAAGCATAAAATATATCAAGAAATAACTATATTTAGGTATCAGACTTTTTCGTATACTCCATAACCCTAACCTCCTGAGAACAATAACTCCTTAGTGGCCCCCGAGTCTACCATACTCGCATGTCCCTTCTCTGTCCATCCCTGTGTGTGCTTCTTCCAGTTGTACAAGGCAGCGAGGGTATAGTAAACTTAGGCTTTCTGTCTACAGTTAGTCCCCCTTGTCAGTGATGCAGGACGGAGGGCCTGACAAGGACAGCTGTCTAGTCCTTCGGATGAGACGAAAAAGCGAGGTCCCGTGTATACATTAGATCCCTTGGCAGTTGGAATTTGATATAAGGGTAGGCGATAGTGCCGCTGCCCGGGCAAAATTTCCCCCATAGCACACTGTATGGCGTATGTCCGTCTTCATTAGCCCAGCATAGGAGCAGAACAGTAGGACGTTAAACCCCATTTCATTTCATTTCATTTCGTCTACAGTTAGCCACGCTTGAGAACAGACACTACGCTAGTTGACGGACATTTTTTAAGTCCTAAATCAACTATTTTCGAAAACACTAAGTATGCTTCGAGAATATTGAGAAGTATTTATTCTGCTTCCATTTAATGAAATTGAATAGGTTTATTTAGCCTTTGTGTGTATGCCAGACTCGAAACGCAGTAGAACCTCATTACAGAACAATATACTAGGTATTGGATATGGCGGCCGTTCAGGACAGAGATTTATTCTCGAAGAATGAATTAGGTGTATCTGTGTGTGTGTAGAATGGTCGTGAGTGAAACTGCAAAACCTGGAAAATAAACACTCACTTATTACCTCTTTGTTACTTTCAGGAAATCCCACAAAATGGCGCCGATGTCGTTCACTTAGCGCACGTTCATGGACCCTTGTTAGGGGCCGGTGTCGATTTACGGTACATGTGGAGTAAAGTTTGGGGCTTCGGACATCATGAGTGGCAAGCCGAATGGGAACCTCAATCGGCACCAAATGAACATATTGGAGTCATGCGACTAGGTCACAGTATTCAATGTTTTGGAAATCTCTTCTCCATAATAGGAATGAATGTTACGGCCAGACAGGTGAGTCGACTGTTATCTTTAAGAAGTTTTAGTAACAATTTCTTTAGTATATTGGTCGAGTTCAAGTTCGACGTTTTGACCCGGAGATATGTTTGAGAACATAACAGTCCCTTTCGTTTTTAGCTTTTCTCTCATGATCGAAACGAAAGTCCATAAATGGTATGACGCAGTGTATCCCGAAGTGTTATTGGTCGATTTTAAATGAAACATATTCTCAGAGCAGAAAGGTCCTTCTTTGCCCTTCTTCTTAGCTCATAATCGAAACGAAGGCCCATATATGGAATGCTGAGCCATGCCAGTGTATAACCAAGTGTTGTTGTTTGGCGTCAACTTCAAATAGCTTAGCAACAATATCTTTAGTGTTATTGGTCGATATCGAGTGAGATATCGAGAGAGAGAGAAAGAGAGAGAGAGAGAGAGAGAGAGAGAGAGAGAGGGATGGGGTTTAACGTCCACTCGACACAAACTAGGTCGTACCAAGACTAACATATGGTTTAACTATAGCAGTAGGAGGAAACCGGAGGACCCGGAGAAAACCCACGAGGCTGGACAGGCGAGCCTACTCCTCGTTACGCACAACCGGGGAATCGAAACCCCGCGAGTTGACTCAATGACAGACCTTATGATACAGCGCACACATGCTAACCATTCGGACATCCAAGCCCCCGATATCAAGATACCACATAATCGAAATGAAGGCCAAGGGCATGCCTCAGTGTAATCCAAATTGTTTTTGTTTTGCGTCAACTTGAACCAAAGTCGACGTCTTTTTCGAAACAGCCCAAATTCTTTCATCAAAACCTAACTGGATTGTTTGGGTTGTACGTGATAGTGCTACAATTTATCAAAAGTTGTTCAACATGTTAGGACAGGGTCACCTTAAACTGGCAGTAGTATGTAAGCTTTAAAAATCATCGTATACAAAATGGTTTAATAGATGTCTTTTGTAATTTGACGTCTGGATTAAAACTATTTTTGGTTAAAATGAAAAGTCCCGCAATTCCAATCTGATAGAAGTCAGGATTACTTTTCGTTTGTACATGCCTACATTGAAGTGTGGTCGTATGTATATGGCCCTTGTAAAACTTTATTTTCAAAGATAACTACTTTCAGAGTTATTGCTCTTGATTACTTTGAGAATTCGTGACGAGGAAACCCGTTGATTTTTTACCGATTTCCTATACTTACATCTAGAATATGACTAGTGTTTACTTAGAACAATCTTTTATAAGAACTATGTTTTTTCGCTAAAAGGTTTATTCGCTAAAAGGTCACAATGAACAAATATTATGGACTGCCGCGGAAGACGTTGCCGCTTTGTTGAACGTTTAATTGCCTGGAAACCTATCCTTTTTCTTGTACTATATCAGATCATACGTCCTTATTGGCAAATTAAATTCTTTGTATACGGACTTAGTTTTGTGGCAAATATAGTTCATAACAAAATCAAGTGCATTTTAATTTCATCCTGATGGATTTCGGGTTGCAATATTCATTATACATAAAACTATCCCTGGCTATACACGGGTTTCATGGAAAGCAGGGTAGATTACAATGTAGTATACAAAGCAGAAAAAATAGCGAAACGAAATTTTAATCAAATTTTAATGAGATAGCAGTACGTCTCACTAAACGTCCCAACTACTGGTTTTCTTTCGTTTTAATTTGGATAAGGTTATTTCACAGCTGATGTATTTTAATTAAAACCATAATTTATATGAAATTTGTCTGTATCACTTGGTGTAGACAGCGTTTAGTTATCTCTGAGGCTCTAATTAACGCGTTACTTTCATAACAGATGTGGATGCAGCCGTCTCGTCCGTGACGTCACACGTGTCGATTTTTTAAAATTATAATATCACAGGTTCTTATAAATACGTAATTATAGATTTTTATTAAAACTGTCTGCTCTTATAAATTAAGAAAAACACATTGGTCACCGTATATGTGAACCTAAAATACCCCACGTTGTGAAAAAATTCACTGTGGATAATACTGTAAGAGTTATGTCCCATTTCATAAAATTTAAAACGCGAGCTTTCACCGACATTACAAAGTCTCTTACGCTAAGGAACAAAATCGAGATATTTAAGTTACAAAGTTACTAATTATTATCTTTAAAACAATAAAATTCAGACTGCAATCAACAATCGGCACACTTCGGGATTAATGTAATAAAGTTTTAGTCACAAAAGGACTAATTATTTTAATTTAAAAAATAAAAATTTTCAGACAGCAATCGGCCTTGACGAGCAACAATCGGCCCCGTTTCAGATACAAAGGATAAATGTAGTGTAGTATTTTATTTTACAGATAGATCCAGGTATTGTATATTGAGTTTCTAGCTCCGGCTAGTTGAGAAATGACTACTTGGATCTCTTTCAACTCTGGATATAACGTTTGATGCAGTGTAATGTATACTATTCAAAAAAAGTAGGGGATATTTGATTTTGGGGGCATAATACTAAAATATGCAAATGACTACGAAAAAAGTCACTATAGAACCTAACAGAAGAAACATTTCCAGTTACATGTGACGCCCAAACGCACCAATAGCTACCGCATGGAATGCAGGTGATGCTTGGGATCATCATGGGGGTCCAACCCAAGATTTGCACGACTCTGACTTTGAATGTTACAGTCATTGTGGCATTGAATTCCAGGGTGGAAACATCAGTTTAATTGTTTTAGTGATCAGAAAACAAATTTTGATATGCGTCGGCTTACCCAAAATGAAAGGTTACATGCCCTTGGCATGCTACAGATCGGCACAACACAGGCGGTTGTGGCGCGGACGATGAATGTTTCTCAGTCTGTCATAAGCAGGCTATGGTCCAGATACCGTGATACACAATCTGTACAGGACAGACCACGCTCAGGTCGACCAAGGGCGACAACTCAAGCCCAGGATCGATTTATCCGTACCTTGGCCTTGAGAAATCGTGTCATCACAGCAAATCAGATCAGCGCTCGTCTTCAAACAGACACTGGTGTGAGAGTGAGTGGCCAGACGATTCGGAATCGACTGCATAGGGGTCACCTTCGTGCCCGACGTCCTCGCGTGATCCCTTGTTTGAGAGATCATCACATTCAGGCAAGACGTCGTTGGTGTAGGGATCGTCAACACTGGGATAATCGACGCTGGAGCAATGTGATGTTTTCAGATGAGTCAAGGTTCACTGTTGATTTTTTGGACAGACGTAGGAGGGTGTGGCGTCGTCGAAACGAGCGCTTCCAAGACGTTAACGTCATCAGACATGATCGATTTGGGGGTGGTTCTGTTATGGTGTGGGGAGGCATCACTGTTGCTGGAAGAACGGCTTTACATGTTGTTGCAGGGCGTGTTACAGGCCAGTACTACCGGGACAACATCTTGACAGTCCATGTTGTGCCGTTCGCACGACGTCATGGCCGCCGTTTCATCTTCCAGGATGACAACGCAAGATGTCACAGGGCCAGGATCGTTACAGGTTACCTCCAACAACAGAACATCACCACATTACCTTGGCCAGCACTGAGTCCCGACCTCTCCCCCATCGAGCATGTCTGGGACATGCTTGGACAGAGGTTACGTCAACGTCAACAACGTCCTGCCAATGTCCAAGAACTTGCTGCTGCGTTGCAACAGGAATGGGACAATCTGGACCAAAATGACCTTAGGCGTCTCGTTAGGAGTATGCCACGTCGGATCAATGCTTGTTTGGCAAACAGAGGAGGATTTACCCGTTACTGACTTGGTTGTGATGCTGTGGTAACTTTGCTGTTTGACCCCGGGTATCATTTTACCCTTATAATGGTCAGTCTGTGCCTTACTTAGTCTAACGATCATTTGGAATAAATCGATGAATGTGAACTTCATTTCATTTTGTCATTTGTTTCTTCGTCAGTTTCATTAGGTGACTTTAATAACACTTAAAAATCAAATATCCCCTACTTTTTTTGAATAGTATAGTATTTATTGTATATACGAGTATACTGTAGTATTTATTGTATATATGCGTATAATGTAGTGTTTATTGTATATATGAGTATAATATAGTATTTATTGTATATTACAGATAGGTCCAGGTATTGTATATATGGAGTTCACCAGTTCATTCTGTAAAGGTGTATATATACAGAGTTTAACACCTGTTGAACCACTTCTACAGAAACTCGTACATAATGTCTATGTTCATTGGACTATACCGACATTTATTGGAAAGTTTTTCTTATGGGGAGAAGCCGTACAGGTATGTAGATGGTTTTCTTTTTACGGTAGACCACACTTTTATTTGCCTCGGGTGGAGTCAGGCCAATTGTCATTTGGGTGCAAAAATAGAATCTGATTAAGTTTCGTTTTCTTTGTACTTTCGATGGTCTCTATTACATGAAGATCTGATTGGTTGTAATTGGAGGTCATGTCAGGGGTCATACGATCGGCTTTTGACCCTATGGCGTCAGACATTTGATTAACCAATCTGCGTTGATGTTTCTAGTGGAGATTTCTGCACACCAAGAACTCGTCGCAACAGACCGTTTCATTGGCTAATCCCTCACATCAACGAGAACGCGGGTTATATAACAACTCTTTCAGATCCAAGTGTAGTAAAGACAAGTAAAACGAAATTATGAACTATAAAAAAAACCGAAACGAAATAGGATCTGTGTTTTAATCAGATTGCATCTCAGAACAAGATGTAATTCAAATTTCCTTGATAATCAGAGTTCATACTTCCATTTGCAAGATCAATACAGACAAGATAAGAAATAACTCGCTCATTTAGCACGTCGCGTCACAGAATATGATTAATCCAAACATATTTCTGAGAAATAAGGTTCCTGATTTTCATGCATTCGGGAAACTAGGGCCATACTAACAACTACTGGTATGGATTTATACCTTTATCCCGCATCTAGGTGAAATGTGGAAGTGTTTGTAGTCACCCCTTACTGTCGGTTGGTCGGCCGTTCACAATTGTTTTGGGGTGCTCTAGCGGGCCAAAGTTATCACCCGATTGACTTGACTTTTATACACAGCGTTTCTATTAATGATCCGAAAAAAAAACCCTTGTAGTACACCTTATGTTTATTTTATCGCTAAGAAGAACTAGAAGACTATCGAATTTTTTTTTTTAGTTCAGATAATTACTTCATGGGTTATTGCCCGTGATCAGTTGTTACTGTGTTGTAATTAATACTTGGACTATAGTTAACAAGGACATGTGTTTCGTTGCCTGGCAACTTTTTTTTTCTCTCTCTCTTTCGTTAGATAGCCACTTATTATTTAATATCTTTATATTTGTAGGTTGAGAGGGACATTATGATATGGAATAACAAACGTTATGAAAGTAAACCTTTATTAGTGAAATCCTCTGAAGACAGCCTCACAGCCAGGCATAAAAGATGGTTCTCACAGTTTTATTCTAAAAATAGTAAGAGGTTTACATTCCAAAGGGACAAGCTAGATTGGTAGTGGTAATTTATAAAACAAATGACCGCATATACGCGGTACCCTTACAAAGATGTGTGATATGAACAAAAAGCGTTATAAAAAAAACCTGTCAAACAGAGATATAAAGCCATTGACGTTATAAGCGTCATATATGTGACGTTTTCAGATGTATGACGTGTTATAAAGCCATTGACGTTATAAGCATCACATACGTTAACCATATTTGACGTTTTCAGTATATGTCTAACGTGTTATAAAGCTATTGACGTTATAAGCGTCACATACGTTAACCGTGTGACGTTTTCAATATGCCTGACGTGTTATAATGCCATTGACGTTAGAAGCGTCATATACGTTAACCATAATGGTTATAATAGACGTTTTGGGTATATGCCTGGTGTGTTATATATAAATTTTCTGTGTGCGAAAGAGCAAGATATATTTCCGATTATTGTTTTGTTCCAAATGCGCATGTGTTGATACTTTCAAAATGTGAATATTTTTTGCTAAAAAGTTCTGCTATGCTTAGTTTTATTGTATATACTAAATCTTCCGCTAATGTCAATAAAGCCAATCCCACACTAATCGATTTTTGTCGGATTGCTTAGATTGTTTGATTGGGCTTCAAATCCTAATTTCTCCGTCACGTATTAATCAGTATTTTCTTTTTACATGCAATTAAGCTGATATTTATATTACATGCTAAACTTCCGCTTATTGCAATAAAGGCAACCCCACACTAAACGATTTTTGTCGGATTGCACAGATTATATGATTAGGCTTTATTTTTTATCGTCAAATTCTAAATTCATCGTCACGCATTATTCAGTGTTTCGATTGTCTACCACAGTGGTTCTCAACCTTTTTTTTTAGCCAACGGCACACCTTGGAACGCATGAAACAATAGCGGCACACCTGGCTAAAAATATATGAAAACTATTTGAATTTTACAAAATAAAAACATGGTAAGTCCGACGGAATACAACCGTAGACACAGACTAGTCATAGACACATAGAATGACACAAACTAAATAAAGAAAAACACAGCTATGAAATTATCAGTAGACACCAGTGAATACTCATTTGGGATCACGTGGTTTTTTTTTCACATTTTCTTAGTGTGCCGTTCAAAATTTCGCGGCACACTTAGGAAGATCTCATGGCACACCTGTGTGCCGCGGCACACTGGTTGAGAATCACTGGTCTACCACAACAGCGGAAATATCACGTGAAAAAAAAAAGATCGTGTACATGTAGTGTGTGCGGTGTATTGTAGCTCATAATCATTGTCGTCGTTACTCTTTGGATAATGTAAATGAATTCCGATTAACAATGAATTCCATACTGTATTCATTAATTGTGGCTTCCAATAATTATTTAAACCTAAAGGGTTCACAGCAGAATTTCTTTTATGTTTTAAGTTGTATAGTGTATCTATTCTTCAAGTTCAAAGGGGAGTAACCCAGTGACGTAAATATAAGAATATATTTATTTTCTAGATACTGTGTTAAATATTATACCTATGTTAAAGATACATTATGTAAGATTTAAATCTGCCTATTTCTGGCCTTTTTTGGCTTCAAATGTTATATATATTAATAATATTTAGACATTTTATTCACATTCACATGCAATCTTCTAGGCCATCAGATGGCAATGCTATATTGAATGGGTTAAAACCCAATCGCTATTTAATAATTTAACGTTAAAATGGATAATCGCGATGTTTGTTATCGTAGCAATATATGTTACTTGACAATCGAGACTATATTTTGAAAAAAATCAACCACTCATAACTTCGCACAGAATGAAGTAATTTTACCGAAATTATCAATATATTCATTTTTCATTATCAACTGTTATAGTAAGAACGGCCAGTTCTTTATCCAACTCTTACATAATGTATCTTTACATATATACTGACGTTTAATATTAAACAGATAATAAGAAGTATTTTTGTGATTGTCTTCAAAATGGATGTTAATAATAGTATGGCTAGAATATAAAACAGCTGATATTTAAAAAATGTTATTTTTACGTGATTATACTGAGAGTATGTTTTTTATCTTTTAATATTTCACGTAATTAAAAATGCGACGTTTCGACATTACATATAGTGAATGAAAAACATGTAGTCTTTCGGTCTATTTACATGTGCAAGAAAATGGCCCATTTATAAAACGCAGACCATGGATCATTTAGGGTTTATTTTTGATACGATTCTGATGCTTTGTTAATGAATTTATATTTCTATTCCTGTATGTATCTTGTAAATTTATATGTTCGATACTAAGAAAGGGTTCGTAGGGTAATGAACAGTGCCCCTTTTAGACTGTGGTTATTGTTGTATTTTGAATATAGTTATGTATGGAAGATAGTTCCAATTTCTGATAAGCATCAAACGACAGTCGTATTATTGTGGTTTTCATAAAGCGTTACAATACACTATAACACATACTTGTCGACAATAGCTACTATTGTATTTGGTCAACGTTTCGAAGAGTATTGTCTCAACAAACTTCATAACGTAGAAGACATAATTTAATTAAAGATTATATATATAACAATTTCGTTTCGTTTATTTTATTATGACGTGCTGATATCAAAAATAAAACGAAACGCAATTTACATAGTATTGTGATCAGATTGATATAGAGAGTGCTTGTATACTGTTTCCAAGCACCTGTTTACATTTATAATAAACCGTTTCTACTTAATATTTTTAGAGTTTTTTTTTCTGTATATATAAAGGTTGTTATACTGTTGTTATTGGTTATTGATTGATTTGTGTAATGTTTAATTATTTCACCTTCTTTAAGTGTATTTGCTTTTATTATTTGAGATATTCGTCCATACCATCTTCCAGTTAAGTATTTCATGATATTGATTTATCAACAAGGCACAATAAGAGTATATGCTCAAACAAGATCCCGGGGTGGTTGGGATTATCGAGACAAAATGGGTAAATTTGATAGGCGCCATTTTAGGTATAGCAACTTTAAAGGGTGTGTAGCTCTATTTTTTTAAACCTTGAAATAGACATAAATGGTTATAAAAGCACATATTAATGTAATATGAATGTATGTAAAGAGATTTATATTCAATTTTTGAAAGAAATATTGTAATTTCTAATCAATTACGTTCGGTGAAATACGTGAACAGTTCAAATTGAACGGCAGTCGTTTACGCCTGCTTACTACATTCTACACGTTTTTTAAATTATTATTTTGTCGTTTGTGAATCAGCCTTTACTAATTACCTTCACATTGTGTTGTAGGATATGTTTTTATTTGTTCATTTACAAATGGCACACGAAGCCATAGAATGCACGACTCGTGTACTGATTATAAAATGTTAATTGTGTCTTAAATATTGGATAATAGGATCCTATAGTTTCACAGCACGATAACAACATCAATATTGATAGAAATTGATCAATACTGAATTTTAATTCGTGTTTTTAATTTCGAATATTAAAGAAAATATAATATATTGATTTTTTTAGCTCTACTGTTATTTAAAACAATTAAAGGCAATCGTTATTGTGCTAAAATCTGTTATTACTGTGTTTGTATTCTCTTTTGATCAAATTGAGTTAGAGACTTAACTCCTTTAAATAGACTTACCTCCCTTGGAAGATGGTTCTCTTGTTAAAACTTACATATTGACGAGAATAGATAGTTTAAATATTAGATTGTAATTATTTTTATGTAAAGTGTTTACTACATTTAATCAAATTGAGTTAGAGACTTTTAAATAGACTTACCTCCCTTGGTAGATGGTTCTATTGTAAAAACTTACATATTGACGAGAATATTAGATTGTAATTATTTTATGTAGAGTGTTTTACTATTTATGTGAAAATGATGAAATATTTGTATAAAGTATGTATGTAAATTATTTTGGAATAATTGTTAATATTTTGTAGAGACATATATGGCACTGATCTACAACAATTAAATCTGATAAAGACTTCAGCCATTTATGTTTGACTTATCAATCAGGGAATATTACTACTGAAGAGAGGGAGGGTGAGAGAGAGAGAGAGAGAGAGAGAGAGAGAGAGAGAGAGAGAAAGAGAGAGAGAGATGGGGTTTAAGTCCACTCGACACAAACTAGGTCATTTACATATGGTTCAATTTTATTTCAATAATTCGCTTGAGCGTAGGGGTCCTTAGCAGTGGGAAGAAACCGGAGGACCCGGAGAAAACCCACGAGGTTGGACAGGCGACCCTACTCCTTGTCACGTACAACCGGGGATTCGATACCACGCCAGTTGACTCAATGACAGGCCTTATGATACAGCACGCACGTGCTAACCATTCGGCCATCCAACCCCCCTGAGAGAGAGAGAGAGAGTTAACGTTCAGTCCAAAACTAGGTTATTTCGGGGTCAACATATGGTTCAATTTAATTTAAATAATACGCTTGTGCACAGGGGGCTTTAGCAGAGGAAGGAAACTGTAGCACCCGGGGAAAATCCACGAGGATGGACAGGCGACCCTACTCCTTGTCACATACAAGCGTGGAAACGAAACCATGCCACTCGACTTCATGACAGACTTTATGATCCAGCGCGCATGCGTTAACCATTAGTTCCCCCCCCCTCTGAATCAAGGTTTTTAGTTGCATTCGAACGACTAGACGCTGTACCTTGCCAGGCTATCCATCCTGCAATCGGAGAAACTTCATCCAACACCGGGAGCTAACCCGAGACTCCTGCTTATTAAACCAATACCTTACTCACCGAACAACCGCGGCTCCCAAACAAAAATGAGTTCAGCACGTTTAAATAGGCTAAATAATATGTCCATTTGATAAAAACTTCTTCCATTTTTTCGATATGAACGTCTAACTCGGAATAACGAATACATCGTTTCAACTTTCCGGGTGGGGGTATATAGAGTTTGTATTCGTTGGTTGCAGTGATGTTTTCTGCGGCTTATACAAACGAAAACTTTGTATAAATGTTGGGCCAGGCAAATAGGCAAGAAGTCAACGCTAGATGATATAGTGGGCTGCATCCATTTAAACAAATAAGGAGTTGTCTCCCATTAAATTCTAGGTCAAGTTCTTTTCGTTGATAACACAAATATGGCTGAGTTAGGTAGTGTAGCCGGTAAAGTTGTCCTTATAACAGGTAAGTGTGGTCTATATTCATGACATTTCCTGCTTGCTTCAAATATTTTAGAATAAATTGTGTCTATTATCACAAACAAGACAAATTGTTATTATCAACAAGTGTGACATTGCACCGACGCGTGTGTCCAACATGTATGGAAGCCTATAACCGTAAAGTAATAATCAAGCGCAGATAACAGGCCTACAAAACAAAGTAGCCCCTGGGGTGAAAGCGATCGCAAAACTCTTCTGTAATATCAACACCATTTTCCACCCCTAGAGAAAAGCAATTCCAACCTAACTGACCACCCTGGCGTTCCAATGTTTGTACCATATAATCTGTTAATTAGGGCGTCAACCATAATGCCAATCAACAAAATTAAATGAAATTTTGTTGATGTTTAACGTCCTACTGTTTGCTCCGACTGGGATAATGGAGACCGGCATACGCCATACAGTGACCTATGAGGACAATTTGCCCGGGCAACGACACTACGGCCTACTCTGATATCGAATTCCATCTCCCAAGGGATCTTTTACGTGCACGCCAATGTGTACACGAGACGTCGGTTTTTCGTCCCATCCGAACGACTAGACAGCTGTCCTTGTCAGGCCCTCCATCCTGCGCCACCAACAAGGGGAAACCACGTCGGAAAATCCCGATGAACTTTCTCGGCCAATGCCGGTATCGAATACGCGACCTCCAGGTAAGCGAGCCAGCGTCTTATCCAGCGTGGCTTCCATGCCAATTAACATGTCCCGACATTACGACTGATTACTGTGACTGTAGAAATCCCAATTGAATCTTTCATAATAATAACTAAATGCAAATTGATACATTAGATTTTAAATGAATTTGTTCTGCTTACTTTATAATTGGTACATTTCATTTTAAATGTGTTTGCTTACTTTATAATTGGTACATTTGATTTTAAATGAATTTGATGTGCTTACTTTATAAGGTGCCAGTTCGGGTATAGGTGAAGGTACAGCGTTATATTTAGCTAGAGCAAAATGTCGCCTGTCCCTCACTGGTAGAAAATTGGAAAGATTGCAAGAGGTCAGCAAAAAATGTCAGGAACTCGGATTACCTGAAAAAGACGTAAGTTAGGGTTTGGTAATATTCTATTTACTATGGTGGTCTATTCCAGTCGCCTTCGTGTCCAAAAGGGTCGACGACTTGCGTCGCTTTTCAGGCAAAAACGAGGTCGCGCGTTGGCTGTTATTTCATTTTTGGTGTATGCGTATCAAAGAGGATTTTGAACGAGGAACTGGTTGCATACACTTAGTAGGCTAATAATTTTCTTTTTGGTCTTTCGGCGATGCTCTTCTAAAACCATCTAATTCACGTAAGATCGCCATGAAACTTGCTATCGTAAACTCGATCGTACAGCTAAATTTATCATCTTTACCGGTACATGTTTTGTATAAGAAATGATACTAGTATCTGGAAGAACTCAATGGGTAGTTTTTCTTGATCAGTTTTATAGTGTCTTTTAAATGCTTCCATTACTTACAAACTAATAAATATGCTACAACCCTTGTAGACTGTCGGGCGACTTAGCTGTTGTTGGCGAATGTTTTTGTTTCCAGGCAACCTATATTTATAAGTGTTTTGTAGATATTTATCATAGTAGGCGATATGGAGAAAGATGGCGATATAAAGAATATATTAGATAAAACAGTTGAATATTTTGGGAAGTTGGATTCCTTGGTAAGTTGAAATCTCCATACGTTAAAAATTAACATGCAATTGTTAAATGTATATTCATAAGATTCAGTCATCAGACGTGTTTAAACATACATTATGCAAGAGCTAAATCTGCTTATTGCAGGTCTTTGTTTAGGCCTGAAATGTTATCTAAATTATTAATTAGACATAAATTAACTTATCCAGACCATAACCTGCGATATTTACTGGATTAGGATCCGATCGGCTTGTCTACGCACATTCATGATTAAATCAAGAATTGGATAATCGAGACTATGTATTTTATCGTATCGACTTTAGTAATGATGATCGAGGCTAGGCCCAAAATTCAATCGCTAAATTCTCGGTTCACAGCTGATCAATTTGACCGACATTTTCAGAAAATTCCCTTTACGTTATCTAGTTTTTAACTATTATAGTGAGCACTGTCAGCTCTTTATCTAATCTCCTATAATGCATCTTTAAACTGTACACAAATCATGGCGTAACTGTTGACATGGTTTTTAATGGTATTACTTCAAAAGCCTAAACGAAGACTTTATATTAAAAATAAGACTTTATAGGTTTATGTTCTGCAACGAGTGGGCTAATAAAAACGCCATACAGTGTGCTATTGGGGGGGGGGATTTTGCCTGGACAGCGGCACTACGGCCTACTTTTTACGTGCACGCCAATGTCTAGACGGGACCTCGGGTTTTCATCCCACCCGAACGACTATACGTTGTACCTTGTCGGGCCCTTCGTCGTGCCAACGTCTTACTCACTGAGTCACCACGGTCCCCTAACTCAAAGCACTAATTTAAGAAGTTACATTGAAGTAATCATAATAGCATACGGAAATGGAAATGAAATGGAATGGGGTTTAACGTCCTACTGTTCTACTATACACGGGCTAATGAAGACGGGTATACGCCATACCGTGTGCTATGAGGGAAATTATGCCCGGATAGCGGCACTACGGCCTACTCTTATATCGAATTCCAACTGTCAAGGGATCTTTTATGTGCTCGCCAATGTGTACTATACACGGGACCTCGTTTTTTTGTGCCATCCGAACGACTAGACAGCTGTCCTTGTCAGGCCCTCCGTACTGCATCACTGACAAGGGGGGGGGGGCACGTCGGAAAATCTGGATGAACTTTCCCGGCCAATGAAGAGGTCGAACACCCGACCACCAGAATAGCATACGGATTACTGGGTTAAGAGTTAGAATTGTGTCGTGAATTCTGCTCCATAACGTTAACAATAATTTTGACTAACAGGTTAATAATGCTGGAGGTGGAACCTATGTTAAAACAATGGACACATCATTAGCTGTATTCGATAATACAATGGCAGTTAACGTACGAGCTCCATTTTACCTGACCCAACTCGCAGTTCCTTATTTAATTAAAACTCAAGGTAAACATCTTTCTTCATCCCTTGGTACCTGCACAACTTAACCCTCGCACAGCTTGGTTCCATTTATGCTCAACAGAATTATCACTCGTCAGGACTGGATTAACCATTAAGCAAAATATTTAATTTGAACATTAATTAGGAACTCTTAATGAGTTTTATTTTATTGTTTTCTGTCGTTTCTTACTGCTACCCTCTTTGTCTCAATATATTATGACGTGTATAAATCTCAAAAATACTCTAACCGCGTGCTTGACGGATTGTTTATGGTTTAATATTGTTTATATTGTGAATTGTATACTATAATGGGGAAACCAAAATCTTCTAAGTCCTTGACGGATTGTTTATTATTGTTTATATTTTGAATTGTATTTAATATTGTTTATGTTTTGAATTGTATTTAATATTGTTTATGTTTTGAATTGTATTTAATATTGTTTATGTTTTGAATTGTATACTATTGGAGGCACCAAAATCTTCTATGTGGTTAGGGCCCTGTCACTCGAACTACAATCTAGAAGCTTGGTTTCATTTATGCAGATTGATTATTAAGGAAAGAACCACTGTTCTGGATTGTTCGCGAAATGTCAGAATATATACAGCCATATATTTTCGTAAACTAAAATGTCGGCAAATCAACTTAACAGGGCAGATAAGTTGCGTTTCATAAAATCATTTGACTCTAAGATGTCAAAAAATTGGGTTTAAATTGTGACGAATTGTGTGATTAAAATGTTTTTCACGATTTCGTATTACCCCTTTTTTTCAGGCAGTATTATAAATATATCAAGCATATCAGGCCAGAGAGCGGTTAGTATGCAGAAACTTAAAATAGTTTAAGAAATGAAATGAAATGAAATGTGGTTTAACGTCCTTCTGTTCTGTTCGAACTGGGCTAATGAGGACGGGCATATGCCTACAGTTGGCTATGCGAGAAATTTTGCTCAGACAGCCGCGGTACAGTCTACTCTAACATCGACTTCAAACTGCCAAGGGATCTTTGACGTACACGCCAATGTGTACACCGGATCTTGATTTTTCGCCCCATCCGAACGACTAGACAGCTGTCCTTGTCAAGCCCTCCGTTCCGCACGCCGGAAAATCCCGATGAACTCTCTCGGCCAACAGCAGGAGCAATTCCTCGACCTCCAGTTTAAGTACTTACGTTTGAAAACTACGGTGATCCCTATTAATCTTTTTTCTTATCTCGGATTCTCAAACATTTTGGTTTCAATGCTCCCCGAGAAGGTTTTGGGACTATCGTTATTTTATTTTCCCCATACACCATGTGCCCTTTATTTCGGAGAGTCCGATTTGTCGTGGCTTTGATTTGTAGACGCAAAAAGTCCACCCAAACTATGTTGATGTCTCATCACGCAGGTTTATAATTTAGTTTCAGGGAGCCACGGCCTATTGTATGAGCAAAGCAGCACTCGACCATTTTTCTAGAATTTTAGCCATGGGTAATAATGACGTATTAAAGAAACACTATGTTTTTGATTTTATTTTGTAGAACAATTTATTTCATTCAATAGAACTAGCTAAAGATAAAGAGACAATCTATTTTATTTTATAGAACTAGTTAAGGATAAAGCAACAATATATTTTATTTTATAGAACTAGCTAAAGATAAATTTTATTTAATAGAACTAGCTAAAGATAAAGGAAGAATATATTTTATTTTATAGAACTAACTAAAGATAAAGATCTGTTTTATTTTATTTTACAGAACTAGCTAAAGATAAAGTACGAGTTAATATAGTCAGGTAATATTTGATATCTGATAAATAATAAATCAATCACCAATTGATATATTGTGATAGGAATACTACACTATCTGATTATGGTAATTAATTATACGTGACATTAATTTGTGATCCATATCTCGGCTATAACGTGATCCTTCAAACTAGCCTATAATGGCCAGTAGAGACACAAGTAGCGGGGAAATAAAGAACCGCAGTTACTTTTTTACGCGACCTATAACTTGTACCAAATTCCCCAAAATGTCTCTGCCATCTACCTTCTACTTACAACTATAGGCTCTATATCAATGAACGGAAGTATTTCAGACAGACCATTTTGAAACCGCATATAATTATTAACAGTGCATCAATTGACTACCCTTAAAAAGACGCAATTAAACTTTAATACAAAGAGGTGAAGGTTTAAGATCAGTTTGGACACTCTCTCCATGTTTTGACAATATAATCAGTACGATTCATAGTTGATGTCTTTATACAGTAATAAAATATTGGTCATCGTTTTAGTCCAGGCGTTATTATAACAGATTTCCAGAAGAGAGCTGGTATGAGTGATGAGAGATACGTAACGGTAAGATATCAATCCATAAAATATCCTTGTTTAAATAATATTTAAACAATGTTTTTGTTTAAACAATGTTTTTGTTTAAAATTTTCTTATTTAAATAATATTCCTGTTTAAATAATATTAAAATAATAGTCTTGTTTAAGTAATATTTAAATAATATTCTTGTTTAAATAATATCACCTCGTATCCTTGGTTAAATAATATTACTCTTTATCTTTTTTAATATATTAACCGACCCGGTATTCTTGTTTAAACAATATCACCCACTCAGTATTCTTGTTTAAATAATATCACCCACCCGGTATTCCTGGTTAAACAAATCATCCATTCGGTATTCTTGTTTAGATAATATTACCCACCCGGTATTCTTGTTTAAATAATATCACCCACCCGGCCTTCCTGTTTAAACAATATTACCCACCCGGTATTCCTGTTTAAATAATATTACCCACCCGGTATTCTTGTTTAAATAATATCACCCACCCGATATTCCTGTTTAAATAATATCACCCACTCAGTATTGTTGTTTAAATAATGTCACCTCGTATACCCGTTTAAATTAAATAATCTTCTATTCTTTATTAAAAAAATATCACCCTGTATTCTTTTTTATATAATAACATGTCGTATTCTTGTTTATATAATATCACATCGTTTTATGGTTTTAATAATACCACCTGTCGGTATTCTTGTTTAAAAACACATTATGCAAGAGCTAAATCTGTCTATTGCAGGTCTTTCTTTAGGCCTGAAATGTTATCTAAATTATTAATTAGACATTAATTAACCTATCCAGACCATAATCAACTCTAGATGGTTATGCTAGCCTGCGATATTTACTGGAATGCAACCCGATGTGCTGCTCAACGCTCAATGATGATTAAATCAAAAAATGGATAATCGAGACTTGGTTTTTTTATCAACCGACTTTAGTAATGATGATTATGAGCCGATTTACTGCATAACTTTCCTTCACGATTTAACGATTAAATGGATAATCGAGACTATGCTGTTTAGTAATGATGATCGAGGCTAGGCGAAAATTTCAAAGTGGATCAATTTGAATGAAATTTTCAGCAAATTGCCTTTACCTTATCTAGTTTTTAACTATTATAGTGAGAACTGTCAGCTCTTTATTTAATCTCCCATACTGTGTCTTTAAATAATATCAAACTTATATTCTTGTTTAAACAGGCATGCTATATTTAGTGGATTTGAAAACATTTTGTGATGGATAATTTAACGTAATTTGGGAGAGAGAGAGAGAGAGAGAGAGAGAGAGAGAGAGAGAGAGATGGGGTTTAACGTCCACTCGACACAAACTAGGTCATTTAGGGACTAACATATGGTTTAATTTTATTTCAATAATTCGCTTGCGCGTAGGAGTCTTTAGCAGTTGTAGGAAACCGGAGGACCCGGAGAAAAGTCACGAGGTTGGACAGGCGACCCTACTCCTTGTCACGTACAACCAGGGATTCGAAACCAACGTACTTTGGATAATCGAGACTTTGTTTATTATCGTACCAACGTTAGTAATGACGACCGAGGCTGGCCTAAATTTGAATCGCTAATGATTGAAATTTTCAGCATACTCTGTTTTCATTATCTTTTTTTAAACTGTTATAGCGAGAAATGTCAATCCATTATCTAATGCCCCTTTAGATAATATTATCTTATATTATTTTGCCATTAGACTTTAAATACTGAAAACAGAATCCCGTAATTAGAACTATTCAAAATTGACTGAGTTTACTTGATAGTGAAAGTGTTTATCTCGGTGTATTCCCACGACGGCGCCGTTACAGAGTGTTAATCCTTCCCACGAAGGCGCAGATATGGACTTGTCGGCTTTCGTTTGAAGAGAGACATGTTGTTATTAGGACCCAATTAACGGGGTTAAAGATTTTATGAATAACTATGTTGACTCAAAATTGACAACTAATGATGAAAATCATCATATCATCCAAGTATTCAATATGAATCTTAAATCACCAAGATTCATAAATTTGCCCAAATCCAAAGCCAGTTCCAGGAATTAAAAAGAAGACACAAAAAAGAGGAATTAACTTTAGTCGAGTATTTAGACATTGTGCCTTATTTGGTGAAATTAAATTAATTTGTTTTTATTTCTTAAAGTCATATTCCAAATATGTTAAAATGTTAGTTATTTAGTCACATTGGGGATTATGAAAATATAAATTTTTATCATAACAATCTATAACTCCATTGTTACATTATTAATCCATTTTAATCCCTGAAAGCTGGATTCCCACGAAGGCGTCGAAAACGACTTCCTTTAATCCGTTACGGTCAATAACTGCGCCATCGTGGGAATAAACCTTTATCTCTATCTTAATCTTACCTTTTTTTTGTTTAAGTATTTGCAGGAACAAGATCGCCTACAACCATTAGGTGGCCCTGGAACACCGGAACAAGTAGCCAAGATTATCAAGTTCCTGATATCAGATGAGTCAGGTTTCGTTACTGGAGAAAATATCCATGCTGATGGTGGAAGACATGTTTTAGCTCCCCAATAAACAACCTTGGTTGAAAACCTTACTGATATTTCCAATAAAAACATATGATTAGTACGATATATAAACTTGATTTCTATAATAACATTATGATTATAATGTTCACAATAGCTATTGCTAATGGCGGAAGAAATGCTTTAGCCCCCCCCCCCTCCAAACACCACCAATGAACAACTTCGTATTAAAAGGATTAAAAGGTTACTGATGATATTTCAAAATATTCATGTTGATGGCAATAAATGGTTACTGATATTTCAAATTATAAATTAAAATATATTGGTTGTTTTATAGCCCAAGTTTTCATATGGTCGTCATGAATTCTACGTGTTCGATCCCTGCATTAGCCGAGAAAGTTCATCCCTATTTTCCGGCGTGGTTTCCCCTTGTCAGTGATGCAGGACGGAGGGCCTGACAAGGACAGCTGTCTAGTCCCTCGGATGAGACGAAAAACCGAGGTCCCGTGTAAACATTGGAATGCACGTAAAAGATCCCTTGGCAGTTGGAATTCGATATAAGAGTAGGCGATAGTGGCGCTGCCCGGGCAAAATTTCCCTCATAGCACAATGTATGGCGTATTCCCGTCTTCATTAGCCCAGTATAGGAGCAGAACAGCAGGACGTTAAACCCCATTTCATTTCATTTCATGAGGGGGGGCAGTAACGACATCCATAGTTACGTCCTTTTGTTATCAATAGTGTCGTCCTTTCATGACCTCAATGCTACACTCCAAATTTGAAGTAAATCCGGGTAAGACGCTGGCTCGCTAGCCTGGAGGTCGGGTGTTCGATCCCTGCATTGGCCGAGAAAGTTCATCTAGATTTTCCGCGTATTTCTCCCCTGTCAGTGATGCAGGACGGAGGGGGTGACAAGAACAGCTGTTTAGTCGTTCGGATGGGACGAAAACCAAGGTCCCGTGTACACAATGGCGTGCATGTAAAAGATGCCTTGACAGTTGGAATTCGATATAAGAGTAGGCCGTAGTGCCGCTGTCCGGGCAAAATTTCCCTCATAGCACACTGTATGGCGTATGCCCGTCTGCATTAGCCCAGTTCGGAGCAAAACAGTAGGACGTTCAGAGGAGGGGTGCTCGACTGCCTTCCCGAATTGACAGAATTGCAATCGAGTGACGCAGAATACAGTCCTGTCACAGTTCTGCTAGGCACGACAATGGAGGTGGTGTGAGTAGAATCGTGACGTAATTAAAAACGGAGAATATGTTTCAGCTGTCAGAGTTTAATTAATAAATTTTCTCATTCAGTCGGCGCATGCGCTGTAGCCCCAAATACCCTTTTCACTTCTGCAACGTTCAGTCGAGTAACGCCAAGGATTTCGGCAAAGGGGGCGGGGGCGGGTAGCTCCGGAACGAAAGGTTGCAGTAAGCTCAATATTGATGGGCTCGTCATCGCATGAACCTAATGTATCACACCAAATCTAAAAAGGATCTGTCAAATACTGTGGGCTTTTTCGCATTTACAGAGTTTTTGGGTAAAAGGGCATAACTCTGGAACGAAAGCTTGCGGAACGCTGATTGTCAATAGAATTCATCCTCTCATGACAAATCAGGACCGCTGGGATAGTGACAGGCAGGTTCTGACTAACCCATGTTGCCCCCACCCACCTCTAATCTACATGTATGGTTGATACACGAAACTTACATTAATAATAATAATAATACTGTACATTTGTAGAGCGCCAAATCCACCCAAAAGCATGCTAAAAGTGCAATGAGGCAATAGTTATATACACAGTGAACAGAAAGTCCAATTCTCATAGCATTCTCGAAATAAGTGAGTCTTCAGTAAGATGGTCAGTACCCAACATATAATTCATGATTTTGGCCCGCGAAGGAACAGCGTGTACCATGGGTGCAGATCCCGGTGGGGACACCGGGACGCGTCCCCACCAATATTTTTAGTGGTGGAGACATGATATACTGTGTCCCGGGACTGTCCCCACCACTTATTTCCGATGTTTTGCTTACTGTTTAGTTTTTGAAATTGAAATCATTCCAGAGCTTTTATTGACATTTCAGAATGTGTAGAGTTGGTCCCAGGCACTTGAGGCCAGGGTCCTTGAAGTTGTACAGCTGCACCCGGTGACCGATTTTTATTTAACAGGGAATATGTGATAATTCATATTATAACAGTAAATAATTAAAATATTCCTTAGGGATTATAATAATATGTATATCATGTAGGTGTGTATATCTGATACGCTGGGTATTAAATAACTGAGATTTTGTTTTTATATGGTATACTGGATGATAAATCACGCAAATTATAAAATTCCAAACACGTAATTTCTAACATCACCACTGTCACATTCAAAATAGATAATATAATACAACTGGTACTATGTGAATCATTAAAATAGCTATGGGACCAATATAAACAGCTAGATTTAACTTTAAAAAAAGGCGAAAAGTTATTATTTCAATGTGGTCGCCATTTTTGAATGTTAACGTGGGAAAATTCGCCTTTGCCATCGGATTTTGAATCACCAATGAATAATACAGTAAAATGTTACATTTATTTCAATTGAGATTGAATATCAATATGTTTAGCTGTGTGTGTGGCTTGTTTAAGTTTATATAAATTAAAAGATTTGTAGGCCTGTACATTTGTGTGTCCACTACTGGGAATGGAGGCGGAGATGGAATCTCATTAGTGTAAATATTTCTAGTTTTTGTAGTGTACATGAGAGAATAAATCGTAAACGGTGGCTTGAAGATTTATCTTTAGATTAGATTTCGTATCATTTGCTGCCTCAGGGATTAGAATTGTTTGCCAGAAAATGATGCTGAAAATATCCACAGAGTGCGTTTTAGAGCGTCTAGTTTTCAAAAAATTTCGGGGGAGGACCCCCAACCCCCCTCTTTACCAATAGTCGCCCGCGCATGGACTGTCCCCACCACCTATCCTTCGAAATATGACATATGCACATTTATTACCTTTACAGTTGGGGCAGAAGAGTAGGATGCTAAACCCCATTTCAGTTCAGGGGGGGGGGGGGAGTGGATGGCCGAATGGTTAGCACATGCGCGCTGTATCGTACGGTTTGTCATTGAGTCAACTGGGGGGGATTCGATTCCAACCTCGTGATTTTTCTCCGGGTCCTCCGGTTTCCTCCCACTGCTAAAGACCCCTACGCACAAACGAATTTTTTAAAATAAAATTTAACGATGTGTTAGTCCCGAAATGACCTAGTTTGTGTCGAGTGCACGTTAACCCCCCCCCCCCCCCCCTCTCTCTCTCTCCCTCTCTCATATTTCATTTCATTTATTACCTTTAGTCTTTTGTCATAACCTGATCGGGCTTCCATACTTCATGTGTTGCCCTATTTATGTATTGTTTATTGGTCGAGAGCGAGACATTAAGTAATATATTGTAACAACATGAGGGCCGTAGGCCCGAATGTTTTTACAATATATTACGCAATGTCGTAAGCTCGAGACCATTAAACATCTTAAAATACTGACACTCCGCACGAGCTTTTACGTCACACTAGTCCAATATCTCACTGGTATGAATAAAGTACTATTGGCAAGTTGCCCGTACGATTATTTGAAATAATGGTACGCCAACATCAAAGGGTGACGTCACATCTGTATTTTAAAATATTATATTGCACTTTACGGGGAGATTGCACACGGACTAATAAACAAGGGTGTGTTGTCTGATGCTGTGCTTATGGCTTCGTTAGCTAACAAAGTTATCCTTATAACCGGTAAGTAACTTTTATTTATCAGCACAACACTGACACATACTTCCTCTTACACGTGAGTATGACTGTAACATACTTGGCCATTCCTACAGGCTACTGCTTCATAGAACGTGGACATATCATATCCTTATTGTGTTTACTGTGTATATATAAGATATAATAAACACCTTAACCTACTCTCTGTCCCCTTGGCTAAACCTACTCTTCAGAGAGAGAGAGAGGACCTTGAATGTAAACGTATACTATCTTCATCCAGTCTACATGTACCTCATCTATACTAATACTTGTGACTGTCGTTGGTTTGTCTGTCTGTTCAGGGTTGGCGGCTGACATGAAAAGGGGTTTAACGTCCCACTGTTCTGCTCCGAACTGGGCTAATGAAGACGGACATACGCCATACAGTGTGCTATGAGGGAATTTGCCCGGGCAGTGGCGCGGCGTACTCTTATATTGAATTCCAACTGCCAAGCGATCTTGTACGTGCATGTTAATGTATACACGGGACCTCGATTTTTCGTCCCAACCGAACGACCAAACATCTGTCCTTGTCAGGCCCTGCTTCCTGCCACACTGACAAGGGGGAAACCACGTGGGAAATTCCCATTGAACTATCTCGACTAATGCAGGGACTAAAGCGGATACGTTAAGGCTGCTATTTCATAGGGGTATAAGGTATTCGGTATACGTTTAGAGGTATACGCGAATACTTGTGTTCGAACAACAGAAATTTGCTTAGCGGTTTACATCGGACTATACGCGTATAGGGGCACGCTATACGCGTATATATGGTATCGTGCATGTTCGTTTTTTTTCGGCGTATACTTGCTTCAGGGAGGAGTAAATTCCATGGGATGAGTAGAAAATGGGGCATTTGTGTTGTAAAAACGTCGAATCAAAAGTTCTGAACATTGATGGACATATCTCTAGGCATGGTAGACTATTCTAGATTATCATGAACAGTGATTTCCAAAAGGGTGCTGCAGTTCAACTCCGTGGATTGCATGATTTCGACGCTGGTGGCATTCGGAAGGCGGTTACGCGAGATATTTCTATTCTATATAAATAAAATCAAAGATGTCTGTGCGCATGCTCGCCCATCAACCCCTGTCGTACCAGATTAACCAGCATGTCTCCATAAATGTATTGGGCTCCGGGCGAAGCCGAGTATCCCACCTATTATAATAATTTGTGTCTGAAATTGAGAAAATGGCGTGTTGTGTTAAACTTCAAAAGTACCGATTTCATTGGTTGAAAAAGAACATCAAATAATGATATCGTGGTGCAGCGTGCAGTAAATAAAATTGATTACCGGTAATAAAGAGATGTCATCAGATAAGGGGACGGTAATGAACTATTCATATTTCTGTTTTAGGTTCCAGTGCTGGTATTGGTGCAGGGATCGCTGTTCATCTCGCCCCTCTACAGCCTAAATTAGTTTTAACCGGACGTAATAAAGAAAACTTGAACAAAATAGCAGAAAAATGTCAAAACGCGGGACTTTCAGCTGAAAAGGTAAATGCAGAAACATTCGGGTACAATAGTTGATTTGATAAAAAAAAAAGATTACACAAAGAGAGAGAGTGAGAGAAATGGGGTTTAACGTCCAATCGACACAAACTAGGTCATTTCGGGACTAACATATGGTTCAGTTTTATTTCAATAATTCGCTTGCGCCTAGGGGTCTTTAGCAGTGGGAGGAAACCGGAGGACCCGGAGAAAACCAAAGGTGGTTGAACAGACGACCCTACTCCTTGTCATGTACAACCGGAGAATCGAAACCACGCCAGTTGACTCAATGACAGACCTCATGATACAACGTGCTAACCATTCGGCCATTCAAACCCCCAATTACATAAAGTGTAGTTAACCACTTATTGATGGTCGTATATTTCAAAATATTTTCAGATTCACACCATAACAGCCGATATTAAAAAAGATGAAGATTTGAAAAACTTGATAGATGGCACTGCCAAAAAATTTAATGGATTAGATGTGTTGGTAAGAAATAAATAAATGTTTTCTTATTTCTTTTTTAAAAAAAATACAGTTTATTGCCTTTGTCGAATTTTTAAAAAAAAGATTTAATAGACCGTAAACAGACAAGATTACACAAGACCAATAAAAGAAACGTCATTACTTTTAATAAATATATGCTTGAAACAGCAATTTAGAATATTTAAACAAAAATGGTAGATATATAAATACTGCCCTTAAGTGGATAGTTACAGTTGATTAATGATGGTGGCTTGAAATCGACATAAATTAATGAAAAACCATAAATAATTTACATCGAATTTGTTATTTTTGAAAAACAATTTGCACCGAGTTTTTAAGAAATTCTATAGCGTTGCCTTTTTACGAAATACAGTGTCTAGAATTCACTTGAGTACATTGAGTATTCATTCGATTCTTGCTGTCCATATTACATCCCCTGGTTTTCACAATTTTAATATATTTTGTCTTAAGGTAAACAATGCAGGAATAAATTATTATAAAACTACGCAAGAAACTCAGATGCCCAAATTTGATGAAATCATGGCGATCAATGTCAGGGCACCGTTTCAATTAGCTCAGCTGGCTATACCACATCTCATAAAAACAAAAGGTAACTCAATTTATGTGCCCCCAATTTAGACACTCTTGTCTGCCCTTCCGTCCGTTGCTCCGTTGCAGGGCATTGACATGTGAACGCGATCGAGGCTATGGGGTTTTACTGATTCTTTTTAAATTTGGTGTGAAGCATTGTGGAGAGAGAGAGAGAGAGAGAGAGAGAGAGATGGGGTTTAACGTCCACTCGACAAAAACTAGGTCATTTCTGGACTAACACATGGTTCAATTTTATTTCCATAATTCGCTTGCGCGTAGGGGTCTTTAGCAGTGGGAGGAAACCGGAGGACCCGGAGAAAACCCACGAAGTTGGACAGGCGACCCTAATCCTTGTCACGTACCACCGGGGATTCGAAACCACGCCAGTTGACTCAATGACAGACTTTATGATAGAAGCATTGTGGCCATGAGAGAACTAACCTTATACAGGGTTCTAGGAGGGACATTTTGACAGGACAGCGGCACTACGGCCTACTCCTATATCGAATTCCAACTGCAAAGGAATATGTACACGGGACCTCGGTTTTGCGTCCCATGCGAAAAACTATACGTTGTCCCTTGCCAAGCCCTCTGCCCTGCGCCACTGACAAGAAGGGGGTGATAATACCGATGAACTTTCTCGACCAACGTGACCTCCAGAACACCATATAACACGTTTCAGTTAAAAAAGAAATAAATAAATAACATAATATTATTTATGATGTACATTTTGTATTATAGGTACAATTATCAACATTTCCAGTGCTTTGGGACAGAAAGGGGTAAACTATATATATTTCATTGTTACATATACTTTAAGCATCACTATGCAAATTTTACTTGATCAGCATAAAATTGAAATTCGGTGTATGTTGTATGTCGTGCACAAGCATGCTATGCTTACTATTTTCGGAACAGGGCCAGACGGCTTTCTGAATTCTGTGAGTAAGGTGCACGTAAAAGAACCTTTCGATGAATCACCGCTGCCAGAGCAAATTTTCCCTCATAGAACACTACATGACATATTGCCCGTTTGCATTAGCCAGAGAGAGAGAGAAATGGGGTTTAACGTCCACTCGATACAAATTAGGTCATTTCGGGACTAACATGTAGGGGTCTTTAGCAGTGGGAGGAAACCGGAGGACCCGGAGAAAACCCACGAGGTTGGACAGGAGACCCTGCTTCTTGTCACGTACAACCTAGGAATCGAAACCACGCTGGTTGACTCAATGACAGACTTTATGATACAGCGAGCACACGCTAACCATTCAGCCATCCAACTAAACCCCCCATTAGCCCATAGAACGATGAAATCCCATTTCACTGATTCGCTGTACAAAATACAAATTAATACAAAGATGAATGAAATAGTACCAACGATCCCAAAAGACAACCTAATCACAAAATATCTGTCTAATCTTATTTCATTCTGCAGATACCCCAAGCTACAGCTTATTGTATGGGTAAATCGTCCATTGACCATTTCACAAAATTATTAGCAGCAGGTATGTATATACTGTCGAAGTAATAGAAGAGCTACTTCCCTGGTTTTGATCAGTCTTTGGTTAAATTCTGTGAAGGAATAGCCCAAAATGGCAACCATTTTGGAAAATAACCGCCATTTTGAAAATTAAAATGGCTAACGTCATTTTCTTAATAAATGACCCCCATGCAAATTGTAGTGCTTGTATCCAGATTTGAACGATTGTTACGGTTATCTGCTGTAGTAAATGCTATTTTGAATCTTGTTGATCTAATAAGTGAGATTGATGTTGACAGAGTTAGTTAGCTGAAGTAGGTCTATTTACATACTCCTCTCTATATGAAGTATATGTTTGTCCAAGGTCTCTCACCCAATCCTGCATAATAATAAATACTTCCTGTTGAAGGTTTGACAACCTACTTTGTATTACATATAAACCATTTTTTAAAGGCCATTGGAATTTAAAGAATTTAAGAAAAAGAATTATACTTTCTATTTAAAAAAAAAAATTGTTACAAATTTTTTTAAAATCTGATTACAGAACTTGGACCCCATCGAGTACGTGTTAATTCGGTGAGGTACGTATACACATCTATTAATCTTTTACGGCAGCTTGTAACTGGCGTGGTTTCGATTCTCCTGTTGTACGTGGCAAGGAGTAGGGTTACCTGTCCAACCTTGTGGGTTTTCTCCTGGTGCTCCGGTTTCCTCCCACTGCTAAAAACCCTTACGCGCAACCGAACTATTGAATTATTGAAATAAAATTTAACTCCATATGTTAGTCCCGAACTGAACCATATGTTAGTCCCGAACTGACATAGACTCTCTCTCTCTCTCTCTCTCTCTCTCTCTCTCTCTCTCTGGTTTCGAATCCCCGGTTGTACGTGACAAGGAGTAGGGTCGCCTGTCCAACCTCGTGGGTTTTCTCCGGGTCCTCCGGTTTCCTCCCACTGCTAAAGACCCCTACGCGCAAGCGAATTATTGAAATAAAATTAAACCATATGTTAGTCCCGAAATGACCAAGTTTGTGTCGAGTGGACGTTAAACCCCATTTCTCTCTCTCTCTCTCTCTCTCTCTCTCTCTCTCTCTCTCTCTCTCGTTTCCCCTTGTCAGTGGTGCAGGACGGATAGCCTGGCAAAGACAGCTGTCTAGTCGTTCCGAATTTGGGACGAAACACTGAGGTCCGGTGTATACATTGGTGTGTACGTAAACGTTCTCTTCGCAGTTGTAATTCGATATAAGAGTAGGCCATAGTCCCTCATAGAACACTGCATGGCGTATGCCAGTCTTCATTAGCCCGGTCGGGGCAGAATAGTAGGACGTTAAACCCCATTTCATTTCATTTGTTCACAGTTATATTTTAAGTTTCATATACTTTAACTTTACAGTCCTGGATTTACTAGATCAGAACTTCAACTTAGAGCAGGGATGCCAAAGGAACAATTAGAGGATGTAAGTAGCAAAGTTTTTTTTCCTAAATTCGTAATCATCGACGAGTACCTAACGGAAGTTGTGGCATCTAATTTCCCATTAATTTCTTGCCGCCGTCTATTAAGATCATAAACCAACGCTCGAAGATACGTAATTTCTATCTACGAACATGGCATATAACCAAGTTTTTTGTTTTAATCTTGAAGACTACTATAAAGAGCACTTTTCAGTCCTTGTTGGGGTCGTCCCTTGAATGGATGAATACGCTGTTCTAATTGCGGTCGTGAATTAGATTCACAGTCGGAGACGACACAGAGGGAGATCGTCTTATTAACAAGGCGAATTGCCCGCGGGTGCCCTTCCACTACCCATAAGAAATGAAATGAAATGGGCTTTAACGTTCGTCTTTTCTGCTCACAATGAAGACGGAACTGCCCATAAGAGTCCGGCGCGTAGTTGCTCAATTTGATTAAAACACAGATCCTATTTCGTTTCGTTTTTATAGTTCAAAATTTCGTTTTACTTGTCTTCACAATACTTGGATCTGAAAGAGTTGTTATATAACAGGCGTTCTAGTTGATGTGAGGAATTAGCCAATGAAACTGTTACGGCGAGTTCTTAGCGTACTCCGCAAGGAATTGTGGCTTAACCACTAGAAACGTCAAAGCTGATTAATTAATCAATTTCTGACGTCATAGTGTGAAAAGCCACTCGTATGAGCCCCTGACGCGACCTCCCAGTACAACTGGCCAGATCTTCGTGTAGTTAGGTCATCGAAAGTATAACAAAAACGAAACGAAATAAAGATCTATTTTCATCAGATCGGCAGTTAAAGAAAGTATTAAAACAGGAAGAGCTGAATTTTGCACGAGATTTAGCTAAAAGACCGGTTGCGTAGCTACCAATTATCCCCGATCACAATGGCTAAAATGTTTAATTGAAGATAAGTTTGAACAGTGTAATATTTTCCTTTCAGTACATCAAAGCCCAGAGTTATCTAACAGCATTAGGCCGAGCTGGAGAACCAGATGACATAGCTAAATGTGTCAAGTTTCTAGCTTCAGATGAAGCTTCTTTTATAACTGGAGAAAATGTTCTGGTTGATGGCGGAAGGAATATTGCAGTACCCAAATTCAACATATCTGGAAACTAAGAATATATTATGTTGTTTAAGACAAATTAATAACATTGTTATAACAAGTCATATGTGGAAACTTAAGAACTCATTACATTGTTTAAGACAAATAAATATATGCCTAACATTGTTGATACAACCATATCGATTTGTAATGTTGAAATTATATTAAAATTTGAATTTTGCAAAAGATGATTTCTGTCTTCTCAACTGAAAAACCATCGGGGCAATGCATATGGATTAATAGGACAGTTATTGGTTATGTTACCGTTTGCCTTTTTGTTCTTAAAGGACAATATTGGTGTCAGTCATTATCACATATGTGATAGAACTGGTTAAACACATTCCAAATATAATTTTAACACAGAGATCATTGCTACGATAGATGAGTAATACAGGTGTCATGAATCGGAAGTGACGAACGACAAAGGAAAACACGAGTTATCCCTCTAAGGAATTATTAGTGAGCAGAAATTCGGCCGTATATCTGTTATCACTCGTCACTTCAGTCAGTAATATTGAGGTATGGTTCGCGTTTTCCTTTGGCGTTCGTCACTTCCGATTCATAACACCTGTATTACTCATGTATCGTAGCAATGATCTCTGTGTTAAAATTATATTTGGAACGTGTTTAACCAGTTCTATCACATATATGTGATAATGACTGACACCAATATTGTCCTTTAAATCGAACGTTATAACGACTTATTGACTTACGACTACAAGTTATGGCGTGTCTTGCACGAACCAGGGTATGCTGTTCATCTCATTTTGATTGTGGTAAGAATTCTTTCCAATCTGATTAAAATACAGATCTACATTTCGTTTTGTTTTTTTTTATACTTTCGATGGCCTACATTATATGAAGATCTGGCCAGTTGTTTTGGGAGGTCGCGTCATAGGGCATACGAGCGGCTTTTGACCCTATGACGTCAGACATGTGATTAACCAATCAGTATTGATGTTTCTAGTGGATTACCCACACTTCCCTGCACCACACGCCAAAAGCTCGTCTTAACAGACCGTTTCATTGGCTAATCCTTCACATCATCCGGAAACGCGTCAATGATAACAACTCTTCAAGATCCTAGTGTAGTAAAGACAAGTAAAACGAAATTTTGAACTATAAAAAACGAAACGAAATCGGATATGTGTTTTAATCAGATTGAATTCTTTCCTATTAGTAATTCACTGTAGAGGATATTGTGAGATTATTCATGTGTTATCAGCATATTGGAAGTTAGAAATGAAATTTGGGTTTAACGTGATACTTTTCTGATATAGTCGTTCGGGTGGGACAAAAAACCGAGGTTTCGTGTACACATTGGCGGGCACGTAAAATATGCCACCGAGGACACGACTATACATTGGCGAACACGTAAAAGATCCCTTGGCAGTTGGAATTCGATATAAGAGTAGACCGTGGCGCTTAGCACACTCTTCATTAGCCCGGTCGGAACAGAACAGTAGGACGTTAAGCCCCATTTCATTTTATTTCATACTCTTTTGATAATGCAGACAACTATACATTTCACATTGTATCTAAAGGTGTTTGATGAGTTGTGACAAATGGTATATGGTGTTCATTTCGGGAATCGAACCCGAATTGACCATCCAATGGCGGAAATTTAAACAGATTAAAACACTGTTCGCCAGTTGATGATTTAATTTAAAGATGGCGAAGCAAGGCTGTCTCGAATAACATGTACCGTTGATACTATAATAAACAAAGTCTCGATTATCTGTCTCGAATAACAAGTACCGTTGTTACTATAATAAACAAAGTCTCGATTATCTGTCTCGAATAACAAGTACCGTTGTTACTATAATAAACAATCTATGCCACATCTTGTAAAGAATCCAAACGATGATAACTTAGCTCAGAATCAATTAGTTTGATTATATTCATTTTGCATTATCTATTTTTGAGCTATTGTAGCAAGGACCACCAGCTCTTTATCTAAATCTTACATAATGCATCTTTAAAAGAGTTTTGACAGAAGAATGGACCGACCCAATTTTTAATCACTATCCACTCGTTGTCTCGCTAAAATAATTGGATAAATTGGTGAAATAATGAACACAAACTGTTTACTTTTAAAATAATCATATACTTTATTTTTTGCATTACACATAATACAACACGGCACAACAGAACAATCCAGAAAATGTCAAGATTATGGTGAAATATCGATTTTGGATATTAGTTATTAATTAAAATCCTTGTGTTTGATTATATACATTGTTGGGTTTCAGCAAATTTCCTGTTAAATTCTGCATCTGCATTCATCTACATTTCCATTAAAACAACTAGGTGCCTCAAAATTGCTTTATATAGCAAATTGCTTCCTATAGCAAATTGCTTCCTATAGCAAATTGCTTTATATAACAAATTGCTCCCTATAGCAAATTGCTTCATAGAGCAAAATATTTAGAATGGATCAATATCATACAATTTATTATTGCTGTCACGTATGTAGTTTGAAGAATAAAAAAAAATGACTTGCACAGTAAAGTATCAGAAATAATATAGTTGGATACATAAGATATTAAAACTAATAAATAGATAAATATAAACACAAATATCGAAAATAATAAATAGATAAATAAACACAAATATCAAAAATAATAAATAGATAAATAAACACAAATATCAAAAATAATAAATAGATAAACAGAAAATATCGAAAATAATAAATAGATAAATAAACACAAATATCAAAAATAATAAATAGATAAACAGAAAATATCGAAAATAATATATAGATAAATAAACACAAATATCAAAAATAATAAATGATAGATAAACACAAATATCGAAAATAATAAATAAATAAATAAACACAAATATCAAAAATAATAAATAGATAAACAGAAAATATCGAAAATAATAAATAGATAAATAAACACAAATATCAAAAATAATAAATAGATGAATAAACACAAATATCAAAAATAATAAATAGATAAACAGAAAATATCGAAAATAATAAATAGATAAATAAACACAAATATCAAAAATAATAAATAGATAAATAAACACAAATATCAAAAATAATAAATAGATAAACAGAAAATATCGAAAATAATAAATAGATAAATAAACACAAATATCAAAAATAATAAATAGATAAACAGAAAATATCGAAAATAATAAATAGATAAATAAACACAAATATCACAAATAATAAATGATAGATAAACACAAATTATATCGAAAATAATAAATAGATAAATAAACACAAATATCAAAAATAATAAATAGATGAATAAACACAAATATCAAAAATAATAAATAGATAAACAGAAAATATCGAAAATAATAAATAGATAAATAAACACAAATATCAAAAATAATAAATGATAGATAAACACAAATTATATCGAAAATAATAAATAGATGAATAAACACAAATATCGAAAATAATAAATAGATAAATAAACACAAATATAAAAAATAATAAATAGACAGCTAAACACAAATATCGAAAATAATAAATAGATAAACAGAAAATATCGAAAATAATAAATAGATAAATAAACACAAATATCAAAAATAATAAATAGATGAATAAACACAAATATCGAAAATAATAAATAGATAGACATAAATATCGAAAATAATAAATAGATAAATAAACATAAATTATATCGAAAATAATAAATTGATGAATAGATAAATACAAAATATCAAAAATAATAAATGGATAGTTAAATACAAAAACGTATATATACGAAAATTATGTGTACTGAGCCCCTGTGGCGCCACCACCCTTTTTACAATATCCACACGTGTCACACATCGCCATGTTGAAATAAAATATTCATACATGAAGTAAAAACGTAGTCCGTTCAGTTTTATTTCGAATAAACGCGGCGTGCAATAGAAGATGACACACAATGAAGGGAGCCAATACATACCTCCATTTGAATTGGTTCTTATTTTGTCAATGTTCGGCATATCATCTTTTAGAATAGCTTGTTTTGGCCATTGTTCGGCATTTCATCTTTTACAATAATTTGGTTTAGCCATTGTTCGGCATTCCATCTTTTACAACAGCCTTGTTTAACCCCGGCTTTACTTTGTTGTTTACGATTTCTACACTAAAGTACGAAGCTATTATTGTTGACGTGCTTCTTATTATGACATCAACAACTTCGAGAACCGTCAAAACACTCGCACCAACATAAAACCCCATAAGACCCCCTATTATACTTACTAAATCCTCTAAAGTGATCTCGGGCTCGTGACTAATGTGAGTCACCATCAAACTTTTAAAAGATATGGTTATCATCATTAAATTACTACGAGCATCTTCTAAACTCTTCGAGAAGTTATTAGCTTTTAACACATCCAGGAAAGAATCGGCTGGGAAGAAACTGGCCGACAAATCCTGATCGTACACCACATTTGAACAAGGCCGAGGACAGTCACACAACTCTGATTTATTACTGGCATATGATGTATCCGTATAGAATTTCCTTCTCACAGACAATACACAACCTTCTCGCTGTGCCACACTGCAATATTTACTTGATGCATTTTGAATTGCATACTCGGTGATGCATCCACATTCTTTTAACATGGTATCGGTCAGACACTCCAAGAGACATCCACGGTAAGAATAACGGTAAAAATATTTCAAAATTTTCTTGAGACTGGATTGAGGGGCAGTCGTGCAGTCCATAGCCTGGTAAGAATTATAAGGGTCCGGCAAGTACGTGTATTCCTCTATAGATAATTTCACTTCGTATGCATGACCTGGTGAAAGAGAGGTGCATGGCGTTTTTGTGTCGAAAGGTTCATCCGGCGAATGAATACACAACGACATTCCGGCGGTAAGAGACGTAAAAGCGTAGTGATCTTGATTTATGTCCACATACAGAACCAATTTATCGTCCTCATTAGACATTCTTGAGGTTAAATCTTTCTGTTTCCATTGGCCATTATAAGTAAAACATGTTTCCAAAGGCTGTCTGTAATTCATTTGAAAATGACTTTCATTAATCATACCTCCTCGTCCATGATGGCCATAAGCGAACGTGTCCCGGGCATTTAAGACTACTTTCTCCAGATCAGACGGTGTGACTATTGTCGTATTCCATTTTGAATCCGAGAAATAACTACGGTTTCCTAGATCAATTGTTTT